ACTGACCTCCCTCTTCCCCTTCCTCCGCCTCTACCTCCTGGAAATGAAAGCATAACAAGGCTTTTTTTCCCCCCTCTATTTTACTTCTGCCTTTTTTTTTTTTTTTTTTTCTTCCCATGGCTCAGGAAAGTGAGGAAACTTTTTCTGCGTAAAGAGTTAAATTAGTTAATTCCATGGCTGGGCTGATAGCTGGGAAGATTGCTGTTAGTAAGACGTAAGAAACAGCTCTGAAGTGAGTGAGGGAGGCCTGGAGTATGTTGTTTGTAACATTAAAGTGGGTTGCAGCAGCTTGCATGGGCTACTCTGGCCTCTCTTCTGTCAAACTCTGCACACAGAGTGCTACTTTTGACTCCAGAAGCTCCCACTCCTCTCTCTGCTCCCATCTCAGTTCCACCAATACCTGCTGTCCTCACCCAGGACTGTCTTGCAGACGTTCAGCAGCTGATTCTCCACGTTCTGTTCGTGGCCCTGTCCACCTGAGGGGTCCACCTGAGGCTGTAACTCTACTTAAGTCCCCTGAGAAGTCCTGAAGCAAAGCAGGTTGTAAATGCTGGCATTGGTTACAGACTCCTGGAAGAGGTCAGATGGACAGTCACAGAGATGGGGAAGCCATTGTGGGTCAGTAGCCAGAAAACTACTTTTCACTTGTAAAAAAAAAAAAAAAAAAAAAAAGAGAGTCTGTATTTCTCATTTTCCATGTTTGGCTTTTGGCTTTGGGCCACTGGAGTTGATTTTTCCAGCTTTCCCCACTCTTTTGATGCCTAGGAATTTACTTTTCCTATATGGGACAAACATCAGGGGACTTGAAGGAGCCTCGTGGGCCACTGAAGTCTGTCTCTGGCCAAGCATAATGGAATGTGGCATCTTCCTCTGATCATGCTCTTCTCCAGAGTCCTCTGAAAAGTGACTCACTCCCTTGTGGAGAAGGGAAGATACCAGTGCCTATTACTGGGAAGCTGAACTAGCACCTCTTCTATTTTTTTAAAATAAAATGTAAAATTCCATTTAAATCCCTCGGGCTTCAGGAACAAGAGCTTTAAAAGGAACGATCCATTCAGACTAAGGAGTCAGAAGGGCTCTCAGTGCTCTGCTCAGCTGTAGCTCCATCCCTTTCTAGCAACTCAGGGCAAGCAGAAGTGAAGAAAACTGTTTGCTGCTGTATGAAACTTGTACATATTTTTTTAATCTAATTGTTGTGGGGAAAACAAACATCAGTTTTATTTCGCACCATTTCTTGGCTCAGAAACGTCAGGCACATTCGCCAAATTGTGGTTTTCCAGTCATTGGCTTGAGTCTCATTTACCATGAGGCCTCTTTACACCACTCTTGGTTTGTAAAGGGATATTAAGTAGCTAAAAATGTCCTTTACCACATTATTGTAAAGAATTCTCAGTGTAAATGAGAATCTAAACTCTGTATGTTTTTCATGTAAACGTTGGTTGTGGTCACAGATGACTTGAAGTTCGGAGTGTCAACCATTGTGTGGGGTGATTTTTGCTCAAAACCAGCCTCGTTTGGGGTAAAAGAGGCCTCTTCTTGTTTAAAATGTTCTTAATTACGTCTGAGGAATAACTCATGGCTATGGAACCTTTTACTAAATTGAAATAAATTGTGAAAACATCAAATTATTCAGTTTTCAGAAGTTCTGGCAATTATTTCACATGTCCCTCTTCCAATGGCTTTGCCCTTATTAGTTGTCATAGAAGAAGTAATAAATTCTTTTATTATGACATCCAAAGTCCCAGCTGAAATTAGTTTCATTGTGCTGGGGACAAAACGGAAAAGTGACACTCCCTTAGCCGGAGGATCCTTAGTCTGAAGCCAAAAGTAAAGTGAAGGATTGGGAAAGTAGGTACAGCATTCAAGCAAAAGAGGGTCATAAAGAACAGATACAACATACAGGGGAGTTGGGTTTCTTATCCCAGCACAAGGCAGTGTGGTTTCCTTATCCCTTTTCTTACTCTTTTTTTTTTTTCCTTAAGAATAAAACAACTCTTGCTGCTGAAAGGATTGCGTTCAATCCATCTTTTCATCAAGAGTTGGATGTCTGCAATAGTAAAAGTTTGAGAAAAGAATACTGTACATGGCATATGGATTCAGTAATGACCTTTGCCCTAAACTAGAAAATGCAAGGAACTGGAATAGTAGAGTGTTTTAGCTCAGCAGCTTTCATACTGGCATGTTCAGTGGTGTCCCTATTGTCACTGTTTTTTTTTTTCTTTTTCTGCCCTCCTTTGGCTCCCTGTAAATCTTGAATTGATGGCAGCTGTTTGAGCCAAACTCAAGACACGTTGCATCACATCAGGGTTTAAAGGCTCAAAGGCAAGGGAGGATTGCTACTATTCTGTAGTATTCCTCCAGCAGCTCCATCTGTTCCAAGGTCAATCACCAGCATCATGCAGCACTTCAGAGAGAGGAAGATGTTCTTTAACACTGGCTGGGAAAGTGGATTTCCAGTCCATAATAATTTATTGGTTCTTTGGGGGAATATTTCTAGGCCCCGGTCAGTGCAAGGAGCAAAAAAATGCTGACCCTAAAAGGCTGTATGGTGGACTTCCCTGGAGCTGGAGATCTGTTCCGGGACTTCCAGATGTTCTGTCCAGCCATGGGGATCTTGGATGCCTGAAGAAACAGGTGGAGCAGCTTCTGTGTGTGCAGCTGCCCTGTGGTCCACAGGCCTGGAGGATTTGGATTCTGGGTGGCAAAGGTGGCAGGAGAGGATTGGGATCAGCACCTTTTGTGCTTCAGTCAAAACATGCAAGGGAGTCCTTGAGGTTCCCCTGGCCATGCTGAAGACAAGAAGCTTCTCAGACCAAATTTCCGCATCGTTTTTGCTGCTCTCACCATTTTGGCACATCTTGTCAGGCAAAAAAAAAACTCTCTCACAAAACGCCTGACCAGCTCTAATGGTCTTATTGTAGTAAGTTGAGCTTTTTATGACTTATTTGGGAGAGGGACTTGTCTTGCCAGCTGTCTTCTTATTCATTGCAGTATTATCCACCCACTATCGTTGGACAATACCTTCATTTGAGATTCATAAAAATACAGACTTTTATGGGCTCTCATACATCTGAAAATGAATGCTTTGTGAAAGCATTTATTCCATAAAGAAAAATTTGAAAACACTTAAAAAATAGACTCCAGAAGGTTATTGGTAGCTTTGGCTCTCATAATATCACGAGTTTCTCGGGTAAATATCCATCCCAGCAAATGTCATTTTTTTTAGCACATTTGTTTTTTCCTTCCCTGGTTCTCCTCCTCTCCTTTCTCGTGATCAGAAGTAGAAGTTTAAACCAGAAGCTGTTCTTGAAAAGGTTTTGAACTGAGTGCGCCCTGCAGATGAATAAACACATTACCTTCCGAACCCTGGGATCTCTCTTCCAAAGGAAACAGGAAAAGGGGGAGCTCAGAGTCCCTAGCAAAATACCAGCGTGCAGAAAAAAAGGCCCGTTTAAATGTTTTTAACTTTCCCATCAGAAGAGTTTTTTTTTTTGTTTTTTTTTTTTTTTACAGGGGAGGAGGAGGAGGAGGAGAAGGGAAGGGTGTGAGGAGAAAGGGGGAAGGTGGGTGCTGGGAGAGGGGAGGAAAAATACAGTGAATGCTCCTGTAACCTTTGCTCTGTTGATACTAGACAAGACTGCACTGCTAATGAGTGATTGTTAACAGATGGCTGTTGAGCAACTTAGTCAGAAGCAGAAGATGTTATTTGGTTGTAGTGTGGGGAGGGTTAGGGTGCAGGGGTGAGGTAAGGGGATATTTAGTCTTTTCACGAGGCCTGAACTGTCAGAGATTTATGATTTTCCTTTAGGCTTTTGGAAGGGGAGGCTTGGGGGAAGGATTGTTTTCTATGCGCTGATAGCAGAGAGGCCGCTTGGTGCTGAAAGCTCCGACGATTAAGTTATTGGTTGAGGGGTGTCCCTGCAGCCCTTGGCCATGGAGAACTGAAAGATGGGAATGTATCTCTACCTTGCTGAACCTCATGTCCCAAACTGAGAAGGAGAGGGCTCTTCCTACCGCTTGGAGCTGTCTGAAGACTGGTTGAGAGCGCTTTGGGTGTGGATCCACACTTTGTCTGTAGAATCATAGAATGGGTTGGGTTGGAAGGGACCTTAAAGAACATCTTGTTCCTACCCCTCTGCCATAGGCAGGGACACCTTCCAGTAGATTGGGTCGCTCAGAGCTCCATCCAGTCTGGCCTTGAACACTTCCAGAAGTGGGGCAGCCCCAACTACTCTGGGCCTGTGGGAAAAACCATTACAGTATATTCCATGTGGTGCATTAAGCTGATAGGAAGCTGTGCATGTGAGGGAGCAGGAATCTTTCTGAATGTGTATGTCCATCTGTGCATGTTTCTTGCCCTTTCCCAGTGTGGTGTACACCCTCTTCTGCACATCCAGCCTACCAGTGTATGCCATTTCCTTACTGGTTTTATTGGGTAGGACTTCGAAGGTAACCTGAACACATCCCGTTCGCTCTGTGTAGGATTTGCGTGCTTGAACCCATCAAGATTATTGCAGCTGCTCAGTGTTTCTCAAAGTGTGCAGTATTTGGATTTTATACTTATTTCTCCTGTGGACCTTATTAGACACAGGGTTATGGGTATGAAGTATGAGTGACATCAGCAGGGATTGCTTGTCAAGAATGTTGTTGTTTGCAATCACTGATGTATGGCTTTGAGGGAAGGTAAGAACCAAATGCACAGTCCAGCATTTTCCAGGGAGGAATTTGCAGAGGAGATTTGGGCTTTGGTCAGGAAAGGGGAATCCCATTTGTACACTTCACTGGCAAATCTTGACCTTTAATAGGAGGTCTTAACATGACCTCCCACAATCGCGCACCAGATGATTTAAAGTCTTTCTAGTGCACCAACTGTCTAACAGATGTAGGTGAGTGTGTGTATATACATTTAGAGAGATATATTTATACAATTTAAAGACTAACGCCTTCACTCTGTCATCCTTATTTATTCATCTTTCTTTTTTCCCGGGGGGGGCGCGCAGGACTGTATGACAAATGTTCTTACACCTCCCGCGACCGAGGATGGGTCCTGGGGATTAACACCGTCAGTGACCAGGGGAACAGAGACCCCCGCTATTTCTTCTCCCTGAAGACGGACCGTGCTCGCAAAGTGACCACCATCGCAGGACATCGCAGCTACCTCCCCAACCAGTGGGTGCACCTGGCTGCCACCTACGATGGGCGCCTGATGAGGCTCTACGTGAACGGCGCCCAGGTGGCCACGAGCGGGGAGCAGGTGGGCAGCGTCTTCAGCCCCCTGACCTTGAAGTGCAAGGTGCTCATGCTTGGAGGGAACGCCCTGAACCAGAACTATCGGGGTTACGTGGAGCACTTCAGCCTCTGGAGGACAGCCCGGTCTCAAAAGGAGATCTTGTTGGACATGGACCAGGCCGTTCACAGGCAAGACACGCCCCTACCTCAGCTAGTCCTTCAAGACAGTTTACTGAATGTGAAAAGCACCTGGTCTCCCATGAAGGATGGCAGCAGTCCCCAGATAAAGTTCAGCTACCACCACGGCTACTTGCTGGACACCAGCCTGGACCCTCCTCTCTGCGGGCAGACGGTCTGTGACAACACCGACGTCATCGCCAGCTACAACAAGCTGCCGCGGTTCCGCCGCAACAAGACCGTGCGCTACCGTGTGGTGAACCTCTACGACGACAAACACCAGAACCCCACCGTCAGCCAGCAGCAGATCGACTTCCAGCACCAGCACCTGAACGAGGCGTTCAGCCGCTACAACATCACCTGGGAGCTGGAGGTGCTGGAGGTGAAGAACTCCTCGCTGCGCCACCGGCTCATCCTGGCCAACTG